AGTGCACTCCATTAATTTGCAATTGAGGCTGCTTCAACAAACGTTTTAGTGCACTCCATTGCTTTGCAATTAAGGCTGCTGCAGAAAACTGCAGCAGCATCTCTGCGGGATTGATTAGTTAACTTTTTAATGGAGGCTGCGTGGAGCAGACACAAAATCATTGTGAGGAAATGCTGTTAATATAATAATAGAGAAACATTTGGGGAACGGCTTTGCCGTGCCCTATGCACACAAAATGCAGCGATTCGTCCCAGCGCTACACTTGCATCTACGCTTCTTGCATCTTGACGGCTGTCGCAATTTAACACACAGCACTTCATTGTATTAGTTTTTAAGCAGTCTTCAACTCAAGAGTCACTCACAAATTGCAAATTAACACAATTTAAACTGATTTTTCACTTATAGTTCAAATTTCTCTTTCGCTGATTTGTTAACAAAAGGTTATTTACAAGTTACCACAACTGTCAAAATCGGCAAAACCAAAGTAGCGGTACCACTGACGGCGCCACCTTTGTGGGTACCGCTTTTATGTAACACCCGATTTACATGATTCAAGTACTTGAAAGCAATTCTTGCTCATTCTCTTTTGTGTTTTCTATTTGCTTTTACACGTTTCAATTCTGTTGAATTCAAGTTTTTGGTTCTTTAAATGGGAAGCAACGAAAATGCTAAAAGCAAAGCAAGAAAGTTGAAACGACTTGACGGTACAGACGCATGTGTACTCGTCCCTTTTCTTCTCACCCCCTCTCTTCCACATGCGAGCAGAATTGAATTCAATACTTGAACTGTGTAAAAGCAGTCTAAAGCTAAATGAACGTAACGTAGATTTGTGATTTTATGTTGTACAGGCTTTCATTGCTTTTCACAAAGTTTATTAGGACTTCATCCTCTTCGGCCGTCCATGCACTTTCCACTTTATTATTCAAAATTGATACAAATATATATTAAATCAGTGGTCTGCAAAATTTTAACTATGACTGTGTTGGTGAGAACAAGAGAACTGCTCCGCATGACCAACCCAGTAGGAAATTACGAGAAGTGAAAAAAATGTTTAACTTATCGGTCTTCAATAAAAACATATAAATACATATATTTAACACATACATATGTTCATATATGTGCATGGCTCTTTCTTATGATGTGTAAAAATTGCATAGCTGTAACGATTAGCTCACTAGAACAAAATCAGCCTTATCCTGACTTTCGCCCGAAAAAAAATTCACCCGAAAAATGTTCATCCGCGCACAGTAAACTCACGGAAACAAATGATAAAGCTGAATATGAATTAGTTTTTTCCTTGGAGTATATGTAATTCAAAACAAAAAAAAATTCAAAATTCATTTGGATTCACCCACGTCAAATATTGCAAATTTAAATAAAAAATTTAAATTAATGTTCATCAAAATTTTCCATATCATTATGAAATGATTAAAAATGTGTTTTAATCGCATACATATTCCCTATAACAAGCACCTTTTAATTCCTTGAAAAAAAACTAATTTTTTTTCATTAAAAAGTCGTTATATTTCTTCTTCTTCAAAATGTTTCCTTATCAAAAGAATCAAAATGTCTTTGAATAGCATATTCTTTATATTTTAATTACTTATAGCACAAAAGGCATTGCATGTCACCAAAAGCATTTTCAAGCATCTAATAGTTCTCGCAAGGCATTTTTGCATACAAGAAACAAAGCGCAACAGTCGAACACGATGTCGATTCGTTGCAGGATTGAGAGAATACAAAGGTTGCGCCGATCTCGGACCGTGATTCCTCTCTTAACGAATTTGACAGAATCGTTGTTTGCATGACGTCACACTGGTGCAACTTGTTTACGTTTTCCTTGCAACATTTTTTCTTATTCTTCCATCCTTACTCACGTTTTGGCATTTCTCTCTCGCAATTGCACCAGTGTGACGTCACAGAAAAGTTATTCTCAAAAATCCTCTCTGATCGGCGCAATCTTGAATTCTATCATTCTTGGATTCGTTGCTCTCTAGCCAACGACTAAACGATAGAGCGTAAGAATACGTGTGAGTTGATCTTCCACAATTGTGGTATGAAGCGCCGACCACTGTATTCAATGCTTTTATTTTGGTCAAAATAATTGTAAACAAATTATGACGTTGCCAAAAAACGTTGATAAATAGTTCTACACCGTCACAGTCGCCGCCAGCAATATTACGGCACATCTGACTTATTAAAACTAATAGAAGAACATAATTGGTTTTGGAATTCGGAATAATATGTAAGTATGTAGTTATTATGATCAGCGTTGGCTGAAGCATCTTCTGTTTCAGCTATCCGCCGATATCATAAACCAGCGTAATTATAGTTTCGTTCCTCAACTTTTCTGGATAAAACCTGTAAAACTGTCAAAAAGAAAAAGTGCTCTCAAATAAAGAGAGAAAAGCCAAGAAGTACGGGAACGCTTTTCGGGTAAAAACTGGTAAAACGGTCAAATACACCGTGGGCGCCATTTTTTGTTTACATAGTTTTTTTTATAATTTTTTTTTTATATTTAATAAGGTGAAAATGCAGATGTGTCTTGGTTTTTGCATATTCAACTTTCAAATCGTTTAAACAGCTGATGGTTTGACACTTTACCTGATTTTACCAGCAAAAATTCTTTGGATAAAATCTTGCAACTTCTGACAAAGAGAGGATCGATTTTACTCTCCCATTTTTCCCCTACCTTACCAGAGAACCACGTACGGGAACGCTTTCTAGTAAATTCCTGTAAATGCTTGCAACTTCTTGCGAGTTAGGGAACGCAACTTGTGTTATTTTGCCCGTTACTCATTTGATTTTTAAAAAGTCTTCCATTCATATTTTGTTGTTTGTGCCCGTCAGCACATCCCCACAGTATTTCTGCGGCGTGGGTAGACAAACAACCAACTGCTCATCGTACATACATATACTTAGAACATTTAAATCGGTGATGGGCACAAAAAAATTTCGAACATAATGTGTATGGAAGAAACTCTCAGTAAAAACAATACCAAAAATCAACTCAATTTTTATGGGCTGCAAAACTTCATTTTGAAAATTTTTATAAAAAAATCTGTATAGAAAGTTGCGAATTTGTATGCAAATTTATTGCATTTTCCCGAGTTTTGCACGAAGTTTAGCAATTTTATGTTTATGTTTTCTGATGTATTTAGTATAAACTGTATTTTTATAAGGAACAAAAAAGGTACATGCATTGTGAAAAATTCTCTGTGCTTTAGTTGTGATAAATTGTTTTGTTTTGCTGGTGTACGTTGTAATGATCTCATGATCTCATGTTTTTATGTTTTTGTTTTTGTTTTTGTTTTCCAAAATAAAATTTTACTACATCCTTTTGTACGTGATTTTTTGTCGAAACGAAAGGGAAGGGAGCGAGAGGCCTCTCTCCCCCTTAAGTGTCCCGGTTTGGCAACAGAGATAGTATCTGGCACTCCTACCCAAGAGGGGCATAACATGAATGAAAAAAAACGGAATAGATTTTAAGTCAAGCGGAGTAGATTTCAAATTTTTTCAAATACCGGAGTAAATCTAATCTGATCTTAGTGAACTCCAAACACTAGTAAGGGACGAATTTTTTACATTTTAACGCTAATGACCCACAGATGGCGGAAAAACACAAGGTTGTATCAGACTTTCGACGTGGTTTCGAGTTGGTTAGCTTTTAACCATCTCAGTGAAATGGCTAAGTGCTGTCATTTTTATATGGCGGAACTACGCTAAATGAAGTGGGTTATCGGGATAACCAACTCAACAGCCACAACTACGTGGTTAGCTCCGGTGGGGACATGGTATAAGAAGCTGAGAACAAATATGCCCATCGCTTTGAAGGCTAAAAACAATAACAATTTACTTTTAATTCCCAATAATTCGCTTATCAGTTATTCGCGAAAATTCCGTTTGATTTCATGTGTATACTGCAGAAGGGAATTCAAGTCAGAACTAAATAACTACTGTGGATGGCACAACTGGTGTGGATTTCCACAATATATTTGTATAAGTCGAACGAATTTGTATGAAAAATTAGAATTAGCCGCGGGCTTTATTTTCTTTTGTCGGTGAACCTTGTTTCCATTTCGAAAGGGAAATAATGCCCGTGGGCTTTATTCAATTTTTTAGGACATACAAGTCCTCGGGCCGTATTTCACTGCACCACAATTTGCAGCACTTAGTAAATTTACTCATAGCTTGCTAATTTGAAACTCTGTACTTGGCTTCACGCCACTGTATATTATGGCAACTTTAAATATCAAGCAAATAATTCCAGCAATTATACGACTCAGCGATGAAGATTTCGATGTTTTTCGTCGAAGAAAAGAAATGTTTACAAACAACAACATAAAGACCGATTTGTTTTTTTTTTTAGTTTAACTTCAAAAGCATATTTCCTGGGATTCAAAAATTTTAACCCAAAGGTTAGTCGCTACAGGAAGCATTGGTGTTATGGAAGAGATTAAAAATAAAATATCTCAAATGAAGAATAAGGAATATTTAAAAATATTAAATTCAGTTTGGAAAAGAAATGAAGTACGTATTATGTAATATAAACCAAGAATAGTAAAAAAATGACAGCTACATCGATGCATTAAATTAATTTTAAACTCTGTCCAATCACATCAGTGGACGTCGAAAGGTCGTCTTCCGTCTATTCAACGCTCTTAAACGACCAGTGCCGTGGGACTATTCTCAAATAAGTTAGCGACGAATATCATATCGCTATCTCAACGTTGTACAATTCATAACATATGTACGTCGGCCACTTGCGATAGCGATCCGAAAGTTGTCGCTAACCCGTTTGAGAATAGGTCTTTGTTATTTCGAATATTAAGCAGAACTTGATTGTCCATTGTAATTTTGCAATTTCCGTAAATTTTTCTTCATTGAATTAGCTTCAATGCAAAAATATTAATGCAATGGCGATTGCATTGATAACGATAAGATTGAGGTTGTAGACGATATTGAAGGGTTTTGGGGGAAATTAGTAAAAAACGATTGTATTGAACGAAACTTTATATAATCAATCAGCTTTATTTCTATAATTTGTTTTGCTTGCCCCATAACTCCGCCGCTGCAGAGCGCATATTTTCTGATCTCAACAACAAATAAATCAAATCTCTAGAAACACTAGAAAACATAATGTTTTCCAAATGTATTAAAAGCGAATATTAATGAAAGATGAAATGGTTTAGGTGTTATTTATACAAACTAAAAAGACAAAATCTGGAAGTGGATCCTTAAAACCAAAAAAGTGGATACTTTTGGATACCTTTTTGGCAAAATTTTGGATAATTTTTTTGGGAGGCTGTGGTAACAGTGTTCACCACATCCAATTCACTAACACAAAATAAAAGACTGCGGAGGGATAATTTCGTACATTTATAGTTGGAGAAGATTTGTACCAAGTTATTTTTGTGATACTTTCCTCCTCCATCTCATTCCATACTTACCTTTACATATCGTATGTCTCCGAAAAGTCCCCAACAGCCTCCCCTTTCTGAGAATACTTTTCTATGTTCTTTAATAGGTACTACAGTGATCGAAAAGCATTAAATATTGTGAGTTTTCTTTACTAAAAATACATAATGTTTAACAAATGTTTCGCTGGCAAATCACAAGAAATACTGTAAATACAGATACTTATGTATCTATATTTTTGAATACCCTTTGCGATATGTTTTAAACTACGCGTGCATTTTTAGATGGCCTAGAACTTACCAAATCGTAAACACCTTTTGTATGTAGGTGTATATAAATCTTATATTATGGTAAAACGAATATACATAGCTCTAAAAGTATTTACAAGTTCATACAATGAGTACAGTTTTATTTTCTACTTCTTAGTCGCACTCGAAACGAGATATGTACAAATGTAAATTCGATTTGAAGACTTGCATACATATATTAATTAATTCATTACAGAAAATTATTTTGGAACTTGATATATAATGCAATTTTATATGTACATTAATATGTATGTGTATTTTCTTTTCTTTAACAGTACTTTCGAGACTCCCCTACTTTTACGTTACTTATATATGTATATATAGATAGGAATCTATTTGTATGTATGTATAAAAGTATGCACATATGTACTTTATATGCTCATGTTATGCGATAATTAATAGCACGAATTCTGCACCATATTCATTTATGACCACATGAGTGTGTGATAGGTATTTTAATTGTATGCTTTTTCTTCTATGATTACATACCAGTAGAACATCATTTGGAGCGTAATATAACAGAACGAATTGAAAAATATGCCCTGCCAGCAAATGGAACAGAATTTTCTTTCCGATCGCCACGATGTCACTTCGCCGTCAATAAGGAGTTAGTAGTAGCTCATTCTACAGAAATTACCTTCTTAACAGGTTCTCGAAAGATTTTTACTTTTAGAAAAATTTAAAATTAACAAAGCAAATTTTGGAACTTTTCTCAAGTAAAATAAAATTTTTTAATTTTTTTGGCATTTTGAGGTACAGGCATCATATGCGTTTAACAAATAATACATACGTTTAAATACGACTCCTAAAAAGATGTATGTTTTGATTTATTATGTTAATGCCATATTCGAATAACAAATAATACATAAGTACGTTTAAATACGACTCCTAAAAAGATGTATGATTTGATTTATTATGTTAATGCCTTTTTACCAGGATAGAATTAATTGAGTTTCCATCAACATATATATACATACATTTGTACCTACATACATAAATAATTCGTTTCAAAAATGTGATTTTTTGATTTAAAAATATAACAACCACTTTTGAGATTGGTTCACAATTTATGTTATTGAATGCTAGTAAAAAATCACATGCAGAATGTGAATGTAGCAGAAGCGTTCTCAATTACAGATTGGCCGTAATTTAGCAGGGAAAAGTATGACATTTCGAGCAGTGAAAAAACTGGAACAAGGCGCTAAAATTGAACAGCCAAGTCCAGCACTCAAGGATGCGCTCTCAGGTGAGGAGAAAGTTTTTATATATAGAAATATAACAGTAGTAGTTGGAAGACGCCACCCTGCGGGGTTAGTTCTTCCAGGTTCTGCTGGGTTTGGAGTACAGTCGGTTACACTCACCGGAAGGCATATTGTTATTCGCGGACGAAGGACTGGTGTCCGACCTAAACCTTTTCAAAAGGACCTTAGACCTGTTGTCTTTAGAGGAGTATGTAATGCAGTCCTTTTTGTTACATCCGTTGGAATTTATTTACTTTTGTGAATGTCCGGTATTGGTAAGCTTAAACCAAATCAGTAATATATTTACTAGATAATAATTATTATTACAAACAAATTTCGGATATGCCTCAAACGTTTTTAGTCTTTTTGATTTAATTTTAGTTTCAGTTGAGATCTCAATAAAGTAAAGTAAAAGTTTTTCACTGAAATATAATGACCAGGTTATTGAAAAAACCATTTTTTTTTTGTAATTTGCTTATGCTAAACTTGTCTTAATCCATTGTAGCGGTACACGGGTTTGCTGCATGAATGTCAGACTGCTTGACCATTAGACATAATTGTCGCCGAAATGGAAAACTCAAACCCAGGGCGAGTAAAAGCATGAGGCAAAAAACTGCTGCTGCTTGCTTGGCTGGTTTTGTGAGCTTGTCGTTGTCCCTGACGTGGCGCTACCATTGTTACTGCACACCCCTGTCGCCACTGCCGTTGCTGCCGCGTAGCCATATCCCATTTGGGAATAGCTGTCAGTGGGACCCGAGGTTACACTCCCGTTTCCTCCGCTACCATTGTTGGGTGTGCTTAGCTGATGACACGGGCTGCAAGGTGAATTACGTGCGGACAGCGTCCGCGTATTGCCGATATTCATTGTCGTCGGCCGACTGCTGCAATTCAATGCTGTCAACGGACTCTCACTGGAAACTTGTGGCAACGAGGAAACGGTGGCGGAAGAGTGTGGCGGTAGTGCCGTTGGTGATTGCAAGCCTAATGTTTGGCCGTAAGTACCCAGACTGCCATCGTAGCCGCTGCATGGTGATTGAAGGTTAGAAAGGCTGCTGCCGGGCGTGCCAGGGCTAGCGACCATCGCATTACCACTGCCATGCGCTGCGTTCGATACCGGTAGGCTAAAGCCGCCTACCACGGCGTGGTGATGCGGAGGAGGCGGCAAAGGAGCGCGCAACGACATATGACACTGGTACAGGGATGGCGGGGTCAGATCACGTGGCTGGGACATCGGTGAGCCGGGAATTGATGTTATCGAGGGATGCGTGAAGGACGACATGGACGCCATAGAACTAGAACGAACATAAAAATAACAGGGATTGCGATTACCGTAAGTCGTATACATTTCAAAAAAATTCCGGGGGAAAACTATGGTTTAACTTATCACTGAATTTTGAAGCATCGGAACTAACACTCACCTGTAGGTTTCGCTCATAGACATAGTGGAGTGGTGGTGTATTGTTGGATACATTGATCCCATTGAGCCGCTGAAGCCGCTGTTCAAATTGAGTCGCGGCGATATCGATGGCACAATGGAACTAGCTAGGTGAGGATGAGTGGTGTGTGCGTGATGCGCCGCTGGATTATATGTGTGCACTGCGCCAATCGGTGCACATGTGCCATTGCCGGTCGCTCCCAGTCCCATCATTCCGGCGCAGTTCCGCCCGCCGTCGGATTGCCCACCTCCATTACTATGGCCCAGGTTCGCAACGCTTGTACCGCTGGCACTGCTGCTGGCCGATGAAGAGTGCTGCCCGCTGCCGAGATGTTCGGGAGTGCCGGCACCGCTGGCCGGTCCCCCGACTGTGGTTTGGGACTCCCCTGACGCCGCGGCTGCAGCACCTGCTACCGCGGACGCTGAGTTATTCGCTAATGGAGACGATGAAATAATGCTGTCGGGGTTCGGTGCATCTGTCGTTGGCGTAGCATAGCCGAAATAATCAAAAAACATTCGTGCTTTTTACTTATTTAGCATACTTAGTTGCTTATACTCTAATACTGCTATTAATTATACTTACTTCCGGTGGGTACGAGGGTGGCGCCGCTGCCGCTGTTGGGACTGTCGGTGACGGAAGTTGCAGAAACGGTTGAACCGCCACCGGTGGAGTTGGGTGTCCTGCGCTGATTCCGCAATTTCTCCTCGCGTCGCCATTTTGCGCGCCGATTAGAAAACCAAACCTGTATCCGAGCCTCTGGCAGGCTTATTTTTCCAGCCAAGCGCTCACGTGCAAATACATCCGGATAATGAGTGCGTTCGAATTCTGTTAAAAATGTTAAGTAAAATAGTATTTTTAGAAGCTATTAGTTTTTGCCTTAGGAAATATATATCTCTCAACCTTTTTCTAGACTGTCGATTTGCTCGTTGGTGAAGGAGGTGCGATTCCTCTGCAGTTTACGTTTAAGTATCAGGCGGGCTTGGTCATCATCATTAGCGCCAATATTGGAAATACCTCCATTGGAATTCTCGCCTTCTCCCGACCCAGTCTCATCCGAGTGATGACCATCGAGCTCTACAAAGAAAAGGTAATAAAGAATTATACTTAACAGAACTCTGAAAAGAATGAGTTGTGTTACAGGAAAAAGGTATTAAATCCAAAAGCCGGAAAAGCGAACTCCTTAAATATTTTTTTTGTCGTGTATATTTATGTATAACTACATATATCTCGTGCACCTGGTTTTCTATGATTTAACCACTAAAATAATTGAATATGACTGTATCAAAGCTTTAAGCGACAAACACTCACGCATATTTGAAGTTGCCCGGAAAATCATAACTTTAGTTGAACGCAGTTAGTGGCCTATGAAATTGTCATATTTTAACCTTAACTTGATTTAAGCACTACATAAGCCTATATTTAAAAATCGCCAAAAAAGTTAGCCTGTGCAAATTTTTATATTATAAAATTTTAATTGACAAAAGTTAGATTGTGCGAATTCAGCTTTTCAAAACCACTAATACTTTTTGCACTTCTTGCTACTTTTCGACATCCATACGTTTTCGTAGTCATTAAAGCAAATTTTTAAATTAAAATAAAAGGAAACAAAATACAGAATACATATTCATGTTTAAAGCGGGTCATGTAAGAGCATTTTGAGACTTTTAGAATATTATTTCTGAAATCATTCCTATCTATGTGAGATCTACAATATACATATATATATCAATAGTATATATCAAAGGGAACTATTTTATATGTATACGCCAGTTTGGAGACATTCATCACAATGGCCATATCATGCACGGTGGCCTATTCTTTGGCGTTACCAATGTCAGCTTTCGCTATGAAATTAATATTTTGATGACAATATATATCTGTGCCGTTCAATTAAAGTAGCTTAAGTGAATTTAGAAGGTTTGGTTTGAACTAAAAAAATAATGAGTTTCTCTTGATTTTTTTTTTTATATATATTTAAATTAAGCTTATATTAAAAGGGCATCTTGAACTACACCTATGGCTAGATAAACGTTAAAATATTATTTGGGAACCCAATGAAATGTTCCTTTAAAGGGAAAAGGACCTATCCCGACTTATGCTCCTTTAATTGAACGGCACAGGTACATATGATTGAATTGCTATGTAGTTCTATGACTGTCATCAAAATCCATTTTCTTTACATTCCATTACGTTATCAAAATACCCATTGCAGTTTGACTTAGACACTTTATGACATTCCACACATTATTATGTATATCTTTTTTGATATAAGTTCGGAATCAGAATACAATTAAGTTCTGAACTTAAAGTTTCCAACATATTTTCAAATATTTATTTTTGATGTAGAAATGCACCCAAATGAACTAGCAGCATTTCTGCATCAAAAACAAAATTTTGAAAAAATGTCACTTGCGTTTTTTTGGAGGGACGTATTTTTATTTTCGTACGGATTGAAAACTTAAAATTTTTGTATAGAAAACGATAGGAAAATTTCATAATTTTCTTTTCGTATTAAAAAAAGAATCTGTTCCCCATACTTTTTTAACTCTTCCATAAATTATGTAATTTTTTTTGAATACTTTGGTATGTTAAATTGAAATACATAGAAATTTTTATATTGATGAAGTGTATATTTTAGAATTTTTGGCATTTTGCTGGAAAAGCCAAAAGTTAATCAATTTAGAATTAAATTTTTCCTCAAAAACCCAAAGCATTACTTAAAAATACCCATAAAGAGACTAAGTAAATCAGCAAAACTTATGAAATGTCAAAGTTAACGCCATGAAAATTGAAAAGTTATTTTCTTCGCGTTAACGCTTGTTACTAGAGTTAACTGCGAAATTGCATACGTTTTTCTGATTTACATACTTAGTCTTTGTATGGGTATTTTTAACTAATAGTTTTGGGTTTTTAAGTAAACTTTCAACTTCATGCAAGTTATTAAATACTCTGAAGTATTCAATTGTTGTTGATGTGTTAGAAAAAAAACCAAACAGATTTTGTTAGTTTAACTAATCTAGATATTAAATTAATAACATAATTATTAGAAGGGGGAAAAAATTAAATTTCGCAGATCTGTGTAATTCTTTATGCTATCATATGATAAGAAATAGTTTCTCATAAGTAACTTATTTTGCAGTCAGGGACGACATTTTCCGAAATACTCATAAGCAGGGAACGGATTTTTAGGACCTAAAATCCTATAAATAGCGAAATAGGCAGGAAAAGGCACTAGAAGACGCAAAAAGGCAAAAGAAGGCACCAAAAGGACAAAAATCGAAAAATAATCAAAAATATATTTATTTTAGAAATATTTATTTTACAAGTAAAAAGAGAAAAACTATGAACTAGTTTCATTATTTGAAAAATTTGTACTTTGAATCAGAATAACTCAGTGAGAGGGGAGAGCAATATGTTTGCATGTATGTATTTTATAAAAAAAAATTGTATTGGTTCTTAAATAGTGGTAGGCCAGGGTGTCCAGATTGTTTAAAAAAAGCGCCATTTCTGAAAAAAAAGCCAAAAATCGTAATTTTTTTTAAATTAAATTAATGAAATCGACTTAACAAATCCTTTATTTTAAAAATTAGATCTTGTTATAATATAGTTAAAAAAACCGAATATAATATGTTCAGGGTAATAATAAATAACACAAATCACTTATATAATAGTTATGTAGACACAATTTTCTTTAAAAATACGCATACATTTTAAAAATATTTGTATCAACGCATTTTCCAATAGGACTGCACAATTATTAAATTTATTATAACTCATATTAGTTGATTAATCGCACAATACGCTTATAAGCGCTCGGCGCTATTTCCACAATTGCTTCAAAATCACCTATAGTATCTAAATCGTTTACATTTCTGTTGTCATATCGAGCCCTAACCGCGAAATTAACGTAAGCGACATATTTTTCGAAATTAGTTTTTTGATGTAGAATTGTTCCTAAACCCATAACAGGTCAACTGTTAAAAAAATTTACCGTCAATCATCATAGTCACAGAGATATACGACTTTCAATTTTATCGAAAATAACGTAAGTGACATGGAAGTTAGTAGTGACCTGTAAATACTGACTGACTGTAAATATATATTTTTATATAATAAGTCTAAAATAAATAACTTTTTTCAAAGTTTTTTGGGGAAATTCAATTAACGTAAGCGCCAAATTTTTGCCTAGTAGCCTGCCATGGTGACCTGTGTTGCCGCGCATAGTTTTTAGTGGTAGCCAAATTCCTTTAAAAAAAGGGCTAAAAAAGAGCAAAAAAAAAATCGTTGTGGCTAAAAATGGTAGCTAAAATTTTTTACTTACATATACATATATAAGTATATACGTTAACATTTTCAATAAGTAATGGTATATAAAAACAATGAACTCTGGAAAAAAAGCTAATATTTTATCCAACCAAAAACCTTTTTGTATAAAAGGGGAAATATACGACACCAGCTTGGAGGTTCCATCAAGTGTTGTACCAGGCTCGAAGCATACAACTTACCAGCATGCTGATACAATATTTATTTCTTTAAAAATGAGGTTGAGAAAAGGTCGAAATGATTGGAGCCGAAATTTCATAATTTTTCTAGCATTTTGTTAAGCATTGTTTTTTTTTTGTAATTCACAACTGCAATATCGTGAACGTAATCTTCCACAAACATGGCTTTGACTCATATAGGGCAAGAAATTTCCGCCAAAATACTTTTTACTTAGAAAATTGAGCTAATTTCACCACTCACGACACCAGTATGCCGGTACAATCAAACCACAAGAACATACACGGTCAATCGACTTGATGGGTCGTTTAACAAATTTGGCATATTAAGGGCCGTGAACTTATCTATTTTAAACTATAGTTAAATCGTTAACAGATAAGTTAACAGCCCCACACTTTTACAGTATGTATGTATGAAAGCGTAAAGAGCATACGATACATATATGTATATATATCAGTCTTTCTTAGTTAAAAAATTCATCTCTTACATGACTGCAAAAAAAAACAAATTAAGCATATACAACGTTTTCATGCCAAGTATGAATAAATTCTAAAAAGGGCTTAAAAAGGGCTAGGGGCAATTTTAAATTTATGTGGCCAAAATAAGTATGTGGTAGCTAAATTTAGCCACCAAAGGGCTAAAATGGCAACACTGATGGTGACAGCGAAATTAACGTAAGCAACAAATTCACTAATTTCGCCTACAAATTAAGTTAAATGAAGATAAAAATTAGTCTATGACTTGTACTGAACCGGGCTTAGACTATATTTAGAATTTCAAAGATATTTTCCAAACGGATTAAGAAGAAAACAAAAAAACGTCTCTCCTGTAAAATTTGCTTTTTGGCGGTTACGTTTTTTTCGCGGTTAGGGCTCGATATATAGAGCCGTGATAACATACTGTTTGATATTGGAAACGTTTTGCAGCAGAAACTATTAAGGTATCCACACACCTACGCGATTCTGTCGGTGCGAATCTGTTCAACAACGCCGACCAAAGTTTTAAATGAAGAACCACACACTTGTACGATTTTGCTGAAGCGATTTATTCGAACTTTCACAGTTCTTCTTTTGGTCGTGCCGAAATCGCAAACTGCCGCGTTTTGTGCAAAATTGAAAGTAAGAAAACAAAACATATTTGATGTAGAAAAGTTAAGAATTTTATTTTTGTTGAAAAACACTTTTTGTTTGTCTATAAATCGACAGTTTTTGTTGCAATAAAATCGCACAGATGTGTGCGTACTTGCGTTTTCGAAACAGAATCGCATAGGTGTGTGGATGCCTTTAGCCTTCATATAATATTTTATTCGAACTATTGAATTAAGGCTTGCCAACCTCGTCCTATTTCGAATCTTATTTTTTGTTGAAGAAATACATTACGGAAAAACGCGCTCAACAAAAGCATTTGAGTGCGGAGAGGATAATAATATGAAGGCTACTTTACTTATATTTCCAAACATTTTATTGCCTGTTGCGGTTTTCACTCCGTAAGCAATTAGCCAATTATCTTCAGAGTCGGATGGAATGCCGCTCTGAGAGAAGTTATTCCATGGGAAAGTTAAAAGATTTCAATAT